ACTATGTCTCAAAAAAAAAAAAAAAAAAGGTGAACGGTGATTGAGAAGATTTGCAGGGCTGGAGAGATGGCTCAATAGTTAAGAGCACAGGCTGCTCTTTCAGAGGACCCTGGTTTAATTCCTAGCACCCACACGGTGACTCACAGCTGTCTGTAACACCAGTCTCAAGGGATCCAACACCCTCTTCTTGTCTCAGAGGGGCACTAGGCATGTACATGGTACCCAAATATATGTGCAGATCAAACACCTATACACATAAAATAAAAAATATTTTTATTTTCAAATTTAGGAAAAGGAAGACACCCAATGTCCACCTGCAACCTGAATATATTCACATATGCATGCACATTTGATTGTGTTCCCACACATTAGACACAGGGGGTTTTGTTGTTGTTGTTTTGTGTTTTTCTGTTTTGTTTTGGGGGGCTTTTTTTTTTTTTTTTGGTTTTTCAAGACAAGGTTTCTCTGTGTAGCTCTGGCTGTCCTGGAACTAGCTCTGTAGACTAGGCTAGCCTTGAACTCATAGAGATCCACCTGCCTGTGCCTCCAAGTGCTAGGATTAAAGGTGTGTGCCACTGCTGCCTGGCTAGACACAGTTTTAATATACAGCCCAATACTCTTGCTCCTACATCTTTACTTAGCTGAGCTGAAAACCGATGTCCACATAAACCTGCATGTAAGCCCCCACAGCGGCGTTAGTTGTAATGGTCAAAGGCTGATCAAGAGCTCCCTCAGTGCTTCTATTAGTCCCCAGTGCTATCAATGAAGTGGCTTTGATACACAGACATATATTAGCTCACAACTCAGTCTACAAGTCGGAAATAAGGGATCTACAGGGCCGTATCTCTCTCTGACTCTGGGCAGACTCCTCCCAGAACTTTCTAGGTTCTACTGCTGCTGCTGCTGCTCCTTGGTGCTCTTTGTCTTGTAACCAGTCTACTTCCTGCCTCTCTGTCACACAGTGCTCTCTGTGTGCCTCTGTCTCCACACGACATGTTCCTTTTACAGAGACCTGTCCTGGTGAATTAGGAACCCACTCTAATGACCCCCTCATAATTTGATTATATCTTCAAAGAGATATAATTCCCAAATATGGTGATATTTTCAGGTATCTAAGATCTCAATTTTAACAAATCTTTATGGAAGACACAAGTCAATTTTGAAGACATGAGTTATGGGAGCTAGGTGTGATGTTTCACATCTGTAATCCCATCATTTGGAAGACTGAGGCAAGGGAACAGATAGGTCTATAGGGCAAGAGGCCTTGTCTTAAAAAAAAAATAGGTTAAGTGATAAAAAATATGTGGTATAATCATACAAGGGATTATTATTCAATGATAAAAAGAAATGAGCTATCAAGCTATAAAAAGACACCAAGAAATTTTAAACCGTATCACTTCATGAAAGATGCCAGTCAGAAAATGCTACCTATTGCATGAATCAACTCTCTCTATAAAAGGCAAAACTATGAAGAGTGTAAAATGTCAGTAGTTGCCCAAAGTTGTGGGTATGGAGTAGGGGGAGGATGAATGAAGCACAGGGATTGTTAGGGCAGTATTTTTTTGGAAAATAGTTGGAGATACATTGCCTGTCCTGCTTTTCAAGCTCTATGGGACTCTAAAAATACAAAGAATGTAACTGGATACAAAACTCTAGGTGCCAGTTAAAGATAATGTATCAATACTGGCTCACCAAATGTCACAAATTTATCAACACGAAGAAGGTCCATTAGGAATAGGGAGATACTGGAATTACATACTTTCCGTTCTCTCTTCACAAGATGCTTATATGTCCTCCCAAGTCCCCATAATCTTAGTCCATTTGCTTAGTCCTGTACCACACTGTGCCACTTAGTTTCTGTCAACTTGACACACACCAGAGTCACCTAGGATGATAGAACCTCAATTGAGGGATCACCTGCATCATATTTTCCCTGTGGGCATGTCTAGGGGGCATTTTCTTGATTAATGATTGATGTGGAAGAGTCTAGCTCACTGTGGGCTGTGCCACCCCTGGGCAGGTGGTTCACAGCTGAACAAGCCACGGAAAGGAAGCCAGTAAGCAGTATTCCTCCATGGAGTCTGCTTCAGGTGTCTCCCTCGAGGTTTCTGTCTTGGCTTCCTTCAACAATGGACTATAATGTGGATGTGTAAGCCTGGGAAACCCTTCCCTCCCCAAGTTGTTTTGGTCATGGTGTTTTATCCCAGCACGAGAGGAGCAAACTGGAATACACATCATATTTCACCTTTGAATCTGTCAGTTGCTAGCTGTGGCTTGCTGACCCCTGGCCTAGAATGCCGAGATGGTGAAAGGATTGAATCCATGCAACCCGTTAGCAGGCACCAGGGGAGGCCCGACAAAGAGCATTTCTGTTCACTCCATGTACGGATGATGTAACCTGTGGTGTAATCATTATAAGCCTCTAACCCATTAGGCCACTTTCAAGATGGGGGCATAAGACAGCGCTGTCACATTAAAGCTACTGCAATCTGAACAAACTCTGGATTAGTGACTGGTCTTTGGTCTACCAAAGACAAATCCCCAAGGAGTACTTGTGGTATTAAGAAACCCCTCCAGTATTCTAGTTCTGTGGTTTTGATTAAAATCCATTTTTTTTAAAGATTACACAACACACTCTTAATCTTGTTCAAGTTAAAAGTTGCTGTGTTTGGTTCAGGACATGTGATTCAGTCTGAGCTAAAGAACAAATGTCTGTACAACAGATGATGTCAGGAAAAACGGCCCACAGACTGAGAGAGGGCTCTCACACCCTGGAAAGTTTGTGCATACATACCCAATCTAAAGTAAAGACTCTGTGGTCTCAGCTGCCATACAGAAATATGGACAGCATTGCCAGACAAGGCAGAGATGCAATTTTCTGTCCATAAAAATCTGATTTTTTTTTAAGTTGGCAACTAGACTGGGAATATAGTTGGTAGGGCCCTTGCCTATCCTGAATGATGTCTTGGCTTTGATCCTCAGAACCCTATAAACTAGTATTGTGGCACACCCCTGTAATCCCAACATTCAGGATCTGGAGACAGGAGGATCAGAAATTCAAGGTCACCCTTAAGATGGAGGGTTATATGAGACAAGAAGGGCAACAGCTGTGCTGGAGAGGTGGCTTAGTGCTTACAGCACTTGCCACATGAGTGTGAAGACTGGATTCTGCACCCCAAACAACACATAAATACCAGGTGGGACATGACCTCTCACCTCTAATTCCCACCTTGGAATGCAGAGGCTGGAGATTCCTAGAAACAACTGGTCTGGGAGAATGCCCTTATTGGTGAGTTCTGGGTTTGATAGAAAAACCTTGCCTCAATGAAAAAGGTAGAAAATGATGGAGGATGATTCCTGACACCAAAAACTCAGGCCTACACACACACACACACACACACACACACACACACACACAC